CCCCGCAAGCCCGCTATAGCTTTGTGCCTAGTCCCGTAACTCAATGCCCCTAATCTAGAAATTCTGGCGTTCTCTTCCTTCTGGGCTCTCGTTTGCTTGGACCATCTGGCAAGCCCCCCCGGGGACTGGATTGTTTTGTGTTTTTCTCAAGGACACTGCCCCTTGCTCTCTCCCAGCCCCCACCTAGAACCTCCTGGGCTGACAGCCTCTGACAAGGGGCAGGCAGTGACCACTCATTCATTTCCGCTACCGCCCGAGCCCTGGCCATCTACGTTTACATCCACTGCCCTTTACCGCCATCTCTTTCTGTAGTTACTTTTGTGCCTGGTTTATCTCCCCTACCAGGGGCGGAGTCTGCTTCCCTCGGTGCCCTCCCTCCTTGGCGCACAGTCGGTATCTGGAGGGAGCAGCAGACCCCCCACCCAGGCCTGCCTCTGGACCCTGGCTTATCTGGCTCCTGGATGGTTGCCTTCTTCTGTGATTAGAAGGGATTGCCCGCCCTACCCCTTTTTGCTAGTGGAACAAGGAGCTGGGAAGGGCTGCTATTCTGGAAGGGAGTGACTGTCCAAACGAAGAGGACAGTACATAATATACCCTGATATGACAGAGGTAGCCCTGGCCCAGCCGCCAGGCCCTCGGGGCAGGACATTGAGTGAATTGTTACATCTCTGGCTTGGGAGGCAGTGTTGTTGGTTGCCATTGATCCGCTCTGGCTCATGGTGACCCCACGTACAACAGATTGCAACCTGGCCTGGCTCTGTGCCACCTCCATGATGGTTAGTGTGGTGTACTTCGGCTGTGGACCCTGTGTGTTTTCTGGGGGGCTCATCTTCCAGCCCTCTATTGGGTAGTATCCTGTTGTGATCCATAAGGTTATCATGGGCTAATTGGGGGGAATTGATTGCTGGGTCTTTCTTTCTGGAAGCTCTGCTGAAACCTGTGCACCATGGGTGACCCAGCTGATATTTGAAATACCCACCTGGTGGCATAGCTTTCTGTGCCACAGGAACACACAGGTCACCAGAATAAGATACACTGGCATGCTTGTGGGCGGGAGGCAAGTGGGTAAAGAAGTGGCCCCTGGGTGCCTGAAGAGGTTGGTTCCAGGAGTGGCTTTACCCATCTATGGCTATGTCCGTAAGCCTGTCACTTGCTTGCTCCTTGCTATTGGTTGTTCCTCGTGGAATCGGAGAGAACCTTCCTACAAAGCCTTCTGGAACATGGCATCATTTATTTCCTCACACACAGCTCCAGAGGCCCCAAGCTACTCAGAGTTCTTCCAAGGCACAATGCCGGAGTGCCTTCCCGCTCCCCCTCTGCCGCCCAAGTTTTCGTTTTCTGACCAAGGCATGCCCTCTCTGACCTACCCAGCTGGAAGTAGGCGATCACGCCAATCTTAGTACCACTCGAATCTGACTTGCTAACACCAAATGGCAGTGACCTGTTTTCAGGTGTCTCCCTGAGACCGGGACTTGTAGGTGGAAGGGACTGAGTCCCATTTCCCCTCTAGTGCCTGTCACGTGGTAGGCTCTGAGGAAAATACATGCATGTTGGCTAGTTGAGAGAGTTGCTAGACAAGGGGCCTTTCTACTTCAGAGGGCTCTTCTATTCTTCCGGTCTGTGATTGGTGGCTGTTTGGGCTGCTCTCTATGCCACAGGACAAAATGCTGCTCGGCTTGGCGCCAGCTTCACAGTCATTAGTCTGCTGAAGTTGTAGCCACGCTGTATCTTGAGTCCCTACGTCTTCTAGCTCAATATCAGATCGTATTCTGGGGTGATCCTCAAGATTATCGTCGACTAGTGTTGGAAGAAGTGTGTCAAGCTTTGCTGCTTGGTCTGACTGAATCTTGTCAGCCATGGGTGACCCTGCAGGTGTTTGACCTGGCCGACCTTCCAACTCTTACCGTACTGTACGTAGGTGACCTTATGGACAAGAGACCAAAATGC